TGCTGAACCTGACCAGTCATTGTGCATCCCTCAGGCCTCACCTTAGATGCCACTGCCTCCAGGAAGCCCTCCTGGACCACTGCCCACCCCAGATGGGCTTTGACATCCCCCATGATGCTCTTTTGCACATTCTGTTCTTATAGCCCTTACCAGCCTGTGTCTATTTGCCTGTATCCTTCCCCAGACTGTAGTTCTCAAAGTCAGGGAGCGTGTCTCATTTACTATCCATTCATCAACTATCAGATAATTTTTGAGCCTCTATTTTGTGCCAGGCACTGAAATTCATGAACAAACAAAATAGACAAAGACCCCGCCCATACGGCACCCACAGACAGCAACCCAGGTGCTGGCTCAGACAATTCACTGAGTAAACAGACAGTACTCTGTGCTGTGGATGCCCAGAAAGGAGGGTCAGAGGTCAGGCAGACTGCATGGAGGAGGGGGCGCTAAGGATAAGGCTCTGAAGGTTGGGTAGGAGTTTTGCTGGCAACAGCTCAGAGATTTCCCTGCCTGCCTGACCAGAGGCTATCCTGTGGCTGGGCTGCTCTCTCCCCAGGATCTACTCCACTCTCACCTCTTCTCTTTCAGAATGCATGAACTGTACCCGGCTCAGTGACATGAGTGACCGGCTGACCACGCTGGAAGCCAAGGTCAGATGGTCTGGGGATAATGGGCCTAGGGAGCTGGTTGGGGAGGGGCTTGCATCAGCCCCAGGGAGCCCAGCAGGACTGAGCAGCCTGGTCCTGAGGGATGGGTGCTGTTTGGGGCTTCAGTGGCCCGGGGTAACCTTCTCTGGGCCGGGCCAGTCTCCTGGGGTTGGGGAAGGGAGTGGGGTGAGCAAGAAACCTGAGGGTCCCAGGTGTGAGGGATGCTGGGGAAGATGCTGGGATGTACTTCTGGTACCCGAGACTTTAGAAAAGGTCGGGTCCCCAGGCTGGCTGGTCTGATGGACATTTTCCAGGCACCTGAAACCTCCACGTGGTTTGGCAGAGCATTGGCTGACAGCCTGCTCTGGCCCAGGCCCAGTACCCACACTCACTGGGGTGTTAAAAGTCACAGCTCTGGGGGAGGACTGGCACAGTGCCGGCTGTCCCCTGCCCACTTAGCCCTCGCCCATGCCCTCCCGCCATGAGCAATTCCTCCCCTGGTCCTCCCACCCTGACACCTCCCTCTGCCTAGAGAGGCTGTACCACGACCATGGCCAAGGCCACGGAAGCGGGCTGGGGGTGGGGCTTACTCTCTGGCCCTGAGGGTGAGGGTCATGACCCCTCTGTAGACCTCAGGGGACTACAGAGGTGGGGGGTCGGGCTGTCCCAGTAATTGCTCTGCCTTGGCAGGTCCCTTCCTAGCTCTGGGCCTCAGTCTGCTGCCCTGTAAAATGGAAATTGAAGGAGACATTTCCCGGCCCCTCACTGGGTCATTCTGAGGCTGGTGGACAGGAGTGAGCTCAGGTGGCTCCTGGGTCGGGGAGCAGGAGAGGTTGCTCGAGACGGGTGTGCAGAGGTGGCTGCCACTGCGTTTCTTCTGGATCCCCAGGTAGGGGGTGGGAGACTCCTGTCTCAACTCCTGTGTCTTATCTGGATCACCTTCCAGCTGCCCACCTGCCTGCTTCATGCCCAAGTGTCCTCTGGAGGAACTGGGCCCCTGGGAGCTTCGTCAGCCCGGTCAGAGGGCCCTGAGAGGCGGCAGCCTGCAGAGGGAGGGGGACACAAGCCAGGCTAGCAGCCAGGACAGCCCCGCAGCCTCAGGGGCTGTGCTGAGGTCAGGTGAGCCCGCAGGGGTCAGAGAGAACACGGAGCTGGGCTCAGGGGCTGGGGTCAGGTGGGTGAAGGCAGAACCAGGCAGGCAGACCCCAGATGGGGAGTCAGAACCCAGGCAGCTGGCATAAGAGAGCAGTAACTCTGAGGCCTGGAAACTGCAACTTCTGCTTCTGCAGACAAGAAACCTGTTTTGGCATATCAGAAGGGATGTGTTCAGTGGCAAGTAACAGAAACCCAGCCACTGGCAGCTTATTCCTTACCATTTATTGTTAGTTCAATAGGAAGTCCAGAAGTTAGTGGTCTCAGGATTGGTTTGGTGGCTCAAGAACCCAGACTCTTCACAGCCTTCCTCTCCATCTCCTTAGTGAATTGGCTTTTGGTCTCATGGTCAGTGCCTCATGGTTACAAAGTGGCTGCTGCAGCTCAAGGCCTCACATCCTTATACCTTATTCAAAGGCAGGAAGTAGGGGGGGAAGTAAAGCACCCCAACAGATTCATTATGTGTCATTGGCCAGCACTGGGCTATATGCCTACCTCCTAGTTGCAAGGGAGATGGGAAAATGAGTAATTGGCCAGTCATGATTCCTCCTCTGGGGCACACCCGCAGGCACACAGTAGGGGATTCTGGAGCCAGAGAAGAGGAGGAGGTTGGAGGCCAGGCGACCACAAGGGACTGTTCCATTTACACTCCACATGGTGCCTGAGTTGCCAAAGGACCCAGACCTAGGAGCTCATCTAGATTCCTGCCACCTTCTTTTCCTGGGACAGGCTGGAATGGCTGTTGGGTGATGGTGGGGTAGAAGGCCAGCAGAAAAAGTTCCCTACCTTCCTTCCTCTCCTGCCCCTCAGTTTACACTCTGACTCCAAGGACCAGACTGAGTGGGAGGCAGCCCGAGGGCATTTCCCTGAGTGAGGGTCACAAGAGCCTCGGAACTCGGCCACTCTCCAGTGCAGGAGGGCGGCGTCCTAGCCAATCAGCCAGGCCGCCATGACGTCATCAGAGCCATTGCCCTCCAAGGCTGGCCGAGGTCTGGTTTTCTTGGGCTAAGTCACCACGCCCACTGCTGCCCACCCTGGTG